ATCATTAGCAGAGAGGTTTGACTGCACAGAGACCATAATAAATCAGTTGCTTGCAGACTCATATCAAAACCCTATCAGTGAGTGGCAAGTGCACTCACTGATAAGCTGCATCTTATGGAGCAGACTGGACATAAGCAACACACTTCAGGTGTCACTGTCTCCCATCACCCCCAGATGAGACCATCTAGTTGCAGGAAAACAAGCTCAGGGCTCCCACTGATTCTGCATTATGGTGAGTTGTATAATTATTTCATTATATATTACAGTGTAATAATAATAGAAATAAAGTGCACAATATATGTAATGCGCTTGAATCATCCTGAACCATCACCCCCACCCACATTCCAGGTTCGTGGAAAAAGTGTCTTCCACGAAACTGGTCCCTGATGCCAAAAAGGTTGGGGACTGCTGCTATATACCATTTTTAACCAAATGAATTTACTACCTTTTTAATAGGACAAAATATAACAATGTGTAGACAAACCAGACAAGAATGTGGACTGAATTTGGCCCATGAACTGCCATTTGAGACATCTCTGTTAAACAAATCCCTAAACTTCAATTATTGAAGTCTGAACTTTTGATTTATTCATTCAGTTCACATTTATTAAATGCCTCCTGAGGCCCAGGCTTCATGTTCAGGGCTCTGTCTCTGGTCTCAGGGAAGCTTCTTTCTCTAGACTCCAGTGGCCCTTCTTGGTGAATATTTATTTATTTATTTATTTTTGGCTGCGTTGGGTCTTTGTTGCTGTGTGCAGGCTTTCTCTAGTTTCATCGAGCGGGGGCTACTGTTCATTGCTGTGTGCAGGCTTCTCATTGCAGTGACTTCTCTTGTTGCAGAGCATGGGCTCTAGGTGTTCGGGCTTCAGTAGTTGTGGCATGTGGGCTCAGTAGTTGTGGCTCACAGACTCAGTAGTTGTGGCTCACGTGCTCTAGAGCACAGCCTCAGTAGTTGTGGCACACGGGTCCAGTTGCTCCATGGCATGTGGTATCTTCCCAGACCAGGGATCGAACCCGTATCCCCTGCACTGGCAGGCGGATTCTTAACCACTGCACCACCAGGGAAGTCCCCCTTCTTGGTGAATATTTTAAAAGAAATATATTTTTATTGTTTTGGCAACTTAAACTAATTAATATGTGTTTCCAAGTTGAATCTCCTGTGCATAGGTAAGACTTGTTTGCAGATTAGCAATATGTATTTGTAGACACACAGTTAATATTGAAGACGAGAAATACTTTGATCTTAACTATTTTGAAATAAACTCTTCTTAGCCTTGTTTATTCTATTAATTTGTTAGGCAAATACTTGGTTCATTATCTCAAGATAAAATTAAACCCAAGCCAAGTCAAATTATTTCAAATTTAGATATAATGAATACATAGTAATGAAGCTTAAATATATTTGCAAATAAAATGAGAGCAAACTGTTCTCAATGAGAGACAGAAAATATCAATAAAGAGAGGAGGGGAACCAGGAATAAAATAGAAATCCAATCTATCTTCCCTTGAAGAAAAAAAAAAAAAAAGATGCGACAGCCTCCTTGTATCTGGTAATCTAATCTCGACACTTGTCTCTTCTGGAAGTGTAATTTTGGCTTCTTTCCTCACTGTGTACCCATCTCTTCCACTGCCCCCCGACCTTAACTCCTGGAAATGTATAGTTCGTGTAGAAAAGCAACATGTTCTGCCCTCTGGTAGAATGCCCCTGTAAAGGTGCCAGTAGAACTTAGATTGTCTCAAATGTAGAAATATATTTCCCACAATGACACTGGGAAACCTTTCAGGCTTCTGGATTCTTAAAGATTCTGCCACCTGAAAATTCTATTCCAAAATCTACTTTGCTGTGACTAATTGTTAGGCAGACAACAGAGTTATTCAAGACAAATATTACTGGTTTTGAACTGAGATTAATATTTTGAGAAAGCCTAACTATCTCTGTGGAACAATGTTTCTGATCAAAATGTTACCTCAAGAGCCCCAGAAGGTAAATAACTTTATTTGAGAAGAAAAAGATCCATTAACATTTTTGTCACATATGTCTGGTTAAATGATTTCTTCTGGGTGATAAAACAAGAAAATCATCACCATATGCTCCTTAATAAAACTTGTTCTAGCTTGAGAGTTAATACCACAGCTGATAGATTTTTGCATCTGTTTAAGTAATCTTTTACTACAGTCACCAAATTTAGTGACTTAAAATAGCAATTCATTGATATCGCAGACAGTTCTGCAGGTTGACTGGGCTCTGCTGAGCTTGGAATACTTGCTTGGAGCCTCTCATGTGGTTGCAGTCGGATGGTGGCTGAGCTAGAGTAATCTGAAGCCTTGAGTGGTTTGGACATCTAAGATGGTTTCTTGACTCATATATTTGGCTCCTGGGCTAGTATGGCTGGAAGAGCTAGAAGGTGGTCTCTCTCTCTTTCTATTAACACATGACTTCTTCACATGGCTAGCTTGGGATTCCTCATAGTAATACAATCTCAGGATAGTTAGAATTTTTACATGGTGCCTGTTTCTCCTAGAGTAAAGGTTCAAGGGACTCTTGCAGAAGCTGCAAGGCTTTTGGTAACCCAGCTTTGGAAGCATCACTTTTGTTTCATTCAGTTAGTAGAAAGCTAGTCATACACAGGTGCCAACCTATGTAACTCCTGACAGCAAAAGCAGGAACAATTTGAGCAATAAAATAAATACATAATATTGGATTATCAACCAAAGTACAATATAAGATAGGGATCCATTGGGTCCATACTGATATAAATGAATGATTAAATAAATAAATAAGTAAGTAAATGTGGGAGAAGAGACAAATCTCCCTTGAAGCGGCACTCCAAATAATTTATGTATGTAGATATTCCACCCTCAAGAAGGGGAAGCATGAATCCCTACTCCTTGTGTGGGCTGCTCCTATTGACTTCCTTCCAAACAGCACAGAATAGAACAGGGGAAAGAAAGAGTATCTCAGCCTTATGATCAAGGTCAGTATCAACAGTGATAAATCATGTTGACAATATGTATCCTTGATATGTTGTGATAAAAATGACACTTTACTCCTGTAATCTTCCTTCCAAAAACCTATAACCCCAGTCTGATTATGAGAAAAACATCAGACAGGTTCCAATAGAAGGACATCCTACAAAATACTTGATCTGTATTCCTCAAAACTGTTAGGGTCGTCAAAAACAAATTCTGAAAAACTGTCACAACCAAGAGGAAACAAAGGAGACAATGACAAGAAAATGTAATGTGGTATATTGGATGCAGTCCTGGAACAGAAAATGACATTAGGCAGAAACTAAGGAAATCTGAATAAATTAGTATGGACTTTAGTTAATAATACTGTATTAATAAGTTTTCATTAATTGTAACAAATATACCATGAAAATATAAGATGTTAATAATAGGAGAAATTCGGTGAGGGGCAATGTGAGAACTGTGTGTACTATGACCTTATTTTTTCTATAGATCTAAAATTTTCTTAAAAATAAGGGTCTATTAAAAAAAAAAATCTAGTCAAAGGGCCCAGATTTGAAGGGAGGGGACTACAAAAGGTGTGAAAAACAGGAGGTGTGGTTCATTGGAGGACCATCTGCAATAGCATTCATTTCACTGATTTTCTTCTGAGGACCCACCTCTCTGCCCCTATTCCCAGTTCATATGGCTGAAGCCTCACCCTTTGGTCCTAGAGGTAGAGCCAGGACTCTGGCCTAAGGCAATCAGTGAGTTTCCCTGTCCTCACCAAAATCTCCTTACTTGTAACCAAAAGTAAGGGAATTGCATCTCCTTTGCCACAGGATAGTTTCAGTGGGCAGTGACTTAAGCCAGGGCAGTCAGAGTAATACTAGGACTGTTAGAAAAGTCGCTCTGGCTTTGAACTTGAATATATGTGAGGTGGGAGCTGCTGCCTCTTATCTTGCCATCAGAAGGGGAGTACTTGGAGGTGACAGGAACCACCAACTAGAGTCTGAGAAAGAAGCCAACAGAATGGGGGTAGCTGATAGGGATAGAATGAAAAGATGGAAAAAATGAGCTGTGGGACATTTTGGAGCCCAGAATCCATCCCTACTTAGAGGAGCTCTGCCTCTGGAGATTTCCCAGTCACATAAGTCAGTAGTCTCTTTTTAAGTCAATAGTCTCTTTTTGGCTTAAGTCAGTTTGATTTGGGACATTTTTGGTCCATTACAATAGAAAAAATTCCTAGGTGATATAATGAAACAATAATTGTCCTCCAGTTTATTTCTATGTTAAATATAATTAGAATATTATTTGACTCCTACTTTTCCTTGAGGCTGCTCTGTTTATTCTCAAATAATTCATTATTTATCTAAAGATAAATCTGGCAAAGAGTAAATTGGTAAATATGTTTAAAACATTCAGAACAATTGCACAGCACACAGGAAGTGCCCAATAAATGTTAGATATTATAATTATTGTTTTAGCTTACTTTAAACAGCTAAAACTTTATTATGGCACCTCTCATCTGGTGTTAAATATGCATGTAGTTATCACAGTAAAAAATTAGATGAATCATATAGCAAAGTGGCTAAAAGCATGTGCTTTATAAATCATGGGGCTGGGTTCAAATTCCAGCCCTGCTCCTTACTTATGGGAGCTCCTTACTTACTTATGTTCAAAGTCAACTATGTTCTAAAATTATAAATGAAGAAGTTGCACATGCTGAACAATAAGTTGAAAGAGATACTGCTTGCTAGGTGATCAGTGTCATAAAATTAAACTCATGGTGAATAAAGGGCATCAAACTGAAATTATATAAAACAAAGTAAAGGGGCTGAGATATAGTGTTATATGAATCTACTTTAAATACAAAATAGCTTTTAAAGAACAAGCCAATGCTAATATTTTAATTGTTGTAATGGGACCATTTGGGTTGCAAGTAAGAAAATCCAATTAAAATAATTTTCTCATCTAACAAGTCTGGAAGTAGCCTGGCTCCTGGCTTAGTGCTGTAATGATTGACTCAGTTTTTTTCATCTTTCATCCAGCTCCCTCCCTGTTCACAAGGTGGCTGCAGCAGTTCCAGCTATCACAATCTCACACCAATGTCCAGGTAAGAAAAGAGGACATCTTCCTTGTGTTTCTGTAGAAAAACTAAGTAAGAAACCTTTGCAGAAGAAGCCTGTTTCCCACTGTTCCATCCTGCACAGACTTCTCTTCAAGTCTCATTGGCCAGAAGAGGGTCACAAGGGAAATAAAAGTACCTGGTACAACCATTTGGGAAAACTTTTGGGCAGGATCTACTAAAGCTAAACAAAAGCATGCCTTATTTCCCAGTAAACTCATCTTCTAGGTATATACACATGAATGTCTATGTGCGCCAGACATGTCTGAGAATATTCATAGCAACACCATTCATAACAGTCCCAAACTGGAAACCAGCCACCCAAGTGTCCATCAACTAGAGAATGGGTAAATAAATGATGGTATAGTTCCACATTGGAAGACTGTAATGGAATCCAGTATTCACTGGAATACTGTACAGTCATGAGAATGAATAAATGACTGCTCCATGCTACAACTAATGAAAGAAGTCTGTTACAATAGAGTACTAACTATATGATTCTATTTATATAAATTTTAAAAATGGGCAAAATTAATCTATAATAATAGGAGTCAAGATAGTGGTTTCCTTTTGGGAGAGGTTAGAGTTATTGGGCTGGGCTTCTGGTGAGCTGGTAATGTTTTATTTCTTAACAGGTGTGGTAGTTTCATGGGTTTATTTGTGAAAATTCACTGAGCTGTATATGTACCATGTTCATTTCTCTATATGCATGTTATACCTAAAATTTTTTCTTTAAAAAACTATGCACATGCAAAATAGCATTTATTTAATGAGTAAACGGGAATACAAAGAAAACTGAGTCCCTGCCTTCATGGAGCTTAATTCTAATAATAAAAATAAATGTAAAATAGTAATAGCAGGTAATACTTAAATAGTGTAGATTGTGTCGCAGATAAAATTGTAACCATATGAAGTAAATACTATCAGCAACCCCATTTTAGAGCAGAGGAAACTAAGGCACAGGGCTGCCTGCTGTGCACTCTACCACATAATAAGTGGTAGAGTGAGAATGCAAGCCTAGTAACTCTAGGGTCTGCCTTTTAACCAGGATGCCCTATTGCCTCTCATGCTAGTGGAGGAGAAAGACAAAAAGCAAAGATAGGTACAAAAAGTATCTCAGGTGGCAATAACTACAACTGAGTAAAACCAAGGTACAGAGGCAGAAAGTGATAAGGGGGATTACTCTTTAAAATAGGACGATTAGGGAAAGTTCTCTCCCTCCGCCTTTTTAAAAACAAAGCGACATTTGGACAAACACATGAAAGAAGTGAGTGAGCCATGTGGATTGATCAATAAGTGTGTCAGGCAGAAGAAACAGCAAGGACAAAGGCCCTGAGGTGTGCATGTTAAGTTCAAGAAATAGCTAGGAGGCCAGAGTGGCTAAAGTAGAATGAGATATGGGAGAATGGGAGGAGACAAAGTCAGAGTTAGTGGGCACCAGGTCATGGATAGCCTTGTAGGCCAGTGTTTGTACTTTATAAAGATACGTATATGTATCCAATGACTTAGATAGTAAACATATTAGAGTGAGTGCTTCCCATAGGGAGAGGAATGGTTGAGGGAATCATGACTAAAAGAGTTAAATACAAGGGAGGGACATAGCACCAACCTATTAGGCCAGAGTGTCATGAGTATTATTAACTCAGTTCTACACCTGAGTTGTGGGGCAGAGGTGGGAACAGCTCTGGTGTAGCCTTTAACCAGAGAGAACTCTATACTCCATCTCCACATCACTATAAATTATCCAAAAATTAAAATGATTGCATCAGATCTCCATTTCAGAGAAGAAAGATATGCCCTAAGAGTGTTAGGACTTCTCTGTTTCTGATGATTCATTCCCATGCAAGTGGCAGGATTTGTAATGGATGGCACTGCCTTTGGCCTGCAGTGTGGCAAAAGACCTCTTTTCGTTTTGGCAAAGCATCTTACCAAAAGATTAATAAGACATAGTTCCTATAAAAACATATTAACATCAATCTTTTAAAAACTATATGATTTAATGGTTTAATTTTTTGCTAGAAATGTCAGGAATATGACAAACTACGTGAATTGATGCTTAAAACATTGTGATTTCTTTAAAAACAAACATCCTGCATGCACACCAGTAAACGCCAAGAAGCATCGAACCTCATTATTTGTATTTAAACCTAAATAGGTTTCTTTTGTCCAGAAAAAATTTTATACTTCATTGGTAATAGGAAAGATCTTGCTTTAGGTTAGAGAGATTTTTATTTTATTCAGGCTAATTTTTGCAAATTTTGCCTCCTTCTTTATTTTTGGGATCTCAAAACCCAGAAAAGTATCTTTTAAAAAAGGACAATTGTCCTGTAACTATTCAAGTGAAATAATATTTAAAAGCATTGTGTCCTGGGAGTTCAGAAGTTGTACTTTTGACTTCATTAAGGACTTTCAAAGAAAAGAGAGTAGAAAGAGAACCATTTTCTGTGATTTGACTCGCGAATGAGCTTCTAGGTTCCAGATCTATATTAAAATGCAATTGTAAAAGGGGTGGGCACTCTGCACATTAATTTATAATGTGTCTATTAATCAGTTCACTATTTATTGAATGTCTCCTGAATGCCAAACACTGTGCTAAGTACCTGGGATATATTGATGAGGGAAAACAGACACAGTCCTGCCTTCATAGTGCTACAGGCTAGCAGGGCAGTGTACATCAGTAAGTCATTACACAAGCACATATAAAACTGCAAGTGTGATGAGCACTGTGGAGAAGAGGCTCATGATGCAATGAAAGCCTGTATGGAGGACTTTGGACTAGACAGGTTGGTTAGGGAAGGCTGCTCTGGAGACATGATGGTTACATTCTGATAGGAAGGAAGAAGGTAGGAATTAACTTGGAGAAGGAGGAAAGACAGAGAGTGAAAAACAGAGGGAAAAGCCAAGTGATTAGACGGAACACAGATCTGAAAGAAAGTCAGTTCTGGAATTCTCAATTAGAGAAAGGAAGAATATAGATGAAGGTTATATTCATTTATTCATTTAATTAAAACGTATTGAATGCCTACTGTATGCCAAATCTTGTTCTAGAGCCTGGAAATATTAAAGAGCATTGGCTTTGTCGTATAAGTAAAGACATTAAAAAGTTTAATCATGCAGGGATTAAATGGTGGGGTGGTGATATGATCATATTTTTGCTTTGCAAAATTAACTCCAAAATTCAGAATGGATGAGAAGAGGCCAGAGTGTATTTTGTGGACCAGCTAAGAAGCTAACCAGGTGCTCCGGCTGAGACACAAGGGTAGCTTGCATGAGGAAAGTGATGCTGGAGATAACCAGCATCACCGGGTGTGGACAGTTTCGAAAGATGGTTTAGGAAGCAAAATAGGACATTGTGATAGGTTGAGGGGGCAAGGAGAGAAATGTCAAGGATGTGTCTGAGGGTTCTAGCTTATATAGCTAGATGGGTTGCATAAAATAATGGCAATAATAATTAACATTACTAACCGTTTTGACCTGAGTTTTGGGGTGGTGAGGGGCTATGAGTGGAAATTACTGAAGTGTAGTCTTTAGTCAAAGTAGAGTCCTTCCTCCAACTCACCATAAGTGACCAACAATGATTGCCTCAAATCTCCACTTTTTTTGGGGGGGGGACAGAGTAAACATGTCCTAAGTATGTTAGAATTTCACTGGTTTTGATGATCCATGTGAACAGCAGAGTATTTTATAAGCTGCACTGCTTTGTCCACGCAGTGATGCCAAGAGTCCTTTTCTCTTTAGACACAGCATCTTCTGAAAAGAACAGTAAGACATAGTTCCCAAAAAGCAAAGTAAGTATCCAGTGGAGGGGGGATAGCAAGGAGTGGAGAAGAACACACCCCAGATGCTCAGCTGGGAGCCACGTCAGATCAAAGCCCAGAGCATGGAGATGCAATCTGTGAGGCTGGAGCATAGGGTGGGACGTGTGGCCTGGCGGGAGATGAGGCAGAGGTGCAGGCCGAGGTTGCATGCCAGAGGACCCTCTGCACTTTGCTGAGGTTTGACTTTACCCGAAGGGCAGTGGGGAGACTTTGAAAAGGTTAGGAAAATGTCAGGAATAAGATTAGATTTGCATTTTAGAAAGATGACTTTATAATAATTTAATAAATATATAAATATAAATATAAAAATAAATATAAAAATAAATAATAATTTATCCTTATTTTATGAACTTTTTCTGAATGTGTATTATTTTCACAATAAAAATGATTTTTAAAAAAGGAAAGCCTATTTTATCTGATAGATTGGGTTAGACTCGGCATGTGAGACAAAATATAGGGAAACCAGTTAGAAAGCTATTGCAACAGGAGGTTGCTAAAATGGAGGAGAGGATGCGAACTTTGGAGCCAGGAAGACTTAAATTTGGATAGACCCTGGCTGTACCACTTCTTGACTGAGTGAACTTGGGCGTCTGGTTTTCTTTTCTGGATGTCAGTTTTTTTCATCTGTAAAAATATGGGTAACAGTACCTCCGTACCTATTTTCCGTTGTGAGGATTATGTATGTGAACTTCTCAGCATACAGTACTCTCAGTAAACGTAGTTCTTATTAATGTTAATGATGAAAAGAGTCTGAATTAAGGCAGAAGCAATGGGAATGAAGAAGGGGAGAGTAGATGGTAATGATGTTAAGGAGGTTGATTATATAAGCTTCAGGGACTGACTGAATGAACGTGGAGGAGCTGCCATCAGACTTCTCAGGGATCCCACTTGGGTGGAATTAGGCAGATGGTGCTCGCATTCACTTAGAAAGAGAAATCAGGAGGGTTGGGTTGTTGGTTTGGGGGGTGGGCAGGTTGGGAATGAGGGGAATTATGTCAGTGTGAGACTTGTTACACTTGAGATGCCCCGAGGACAGCTGGCTGTATGGGTCTATAGCTCTGTGAGGAGTGGCGGCTTCAGAATGGATATTAGGGAGGTGGAACTTTCTAATGAACATATGCTCAGAGTAATGAGTAGAAGGCCAACGTTAGGGCCATAGGGAACATGAGC